CCCCCCCCCCCCCCCCGGGGGGCCCCTCCCCTCTAGGCGCTTTTTCTTTTTTTGCCCCCCCCCCCCCTTTTGCCGCCTTCCTTACGGACCCCCCCCTTGCCCCCCCGGGGCCCGGCCACTTCCACGGCTTCTTTGGGGGTTTCCCCTCCTACTCTCGTGGCCCCCCCCCCCCCCCCCCGCCGTTTCCCTAATCCTCTCCCTCGCCGCCCCTACTACCGCCGCCTCCCTCTCCGCTCCCCTCCCCCCGAGCCGAGCCGGCGGCGGCGGCGGCGGCGGCGGCGGCGGCGGCGGCGGCGGCGGCTTCGAACCTTTTGTAGCGGTCATCGAGATCGCAAGCGGTGACGCTGACAGCCGGTTCGGGCGAGCGTGGTGCGTCGAGCCAGTCGCAGCGCATCCACCACAGGGGGGGGTGCAGCTTTGTGCAAAGCAGCGTCAAGTGCATCCACGGGCCGTGTGCCGAGGTAGATCGTCTCGGCGGGCTCGAGGGTATGAAGGTCGGGGTTCGTTCCACCTCACGGAGGCTCCATGTCGGAGAGAGAGATTTTTAGCAATACCAAACAACTCTAACACTCACACGTAATTTGGGGCCTGGAGCCCTGTTCACGCGCGCGCGAGACGTGCAGACAGGGTTGCCAGGTGAGAGCGAATGGCGCGGTTCACGCCTCGCACAACAGAGAGAGAGATGCGCTCTTTGTTGTCATGTCGGCGGAATCACGCCGGCCAAGAGCGGGAGCGCCAGAGAGAAGGCAAAAGGCAACATGTAGCAAAGCTCTCTCTAACGCCGCGGTCAAAAGAGACCGACGGACCTTGAATTTCGGCGGCGCCGAAATTCACACAAGACTGTGAACACACCCACAGGACGCCGAGTACAAGACAATAGGAAGGGAGTGTACTCAGGCAGTCAGGGACGGGTGAGTTCAAGAACATACTAAGAGCACCTAAAGGAGCAAGGCATAGCTGTGAAGTGGTTTCCACTGACAAAGGCATAGCTGTCGCGCACTCATTCATGACCGGTCTCAATGCCCCACCCCCCTGCGCGCGGGCCTTCTAAGCCCGCGGGTAGTCCCCCCCCCATCCCCAGGGCCTCCAGGGCTCGCACCTCAACCTCTCACAGGCCAGCGCACAGCGCCATAGGAGGTATTTTCTTCTCAATAACAAGGCTGTGAAGTGGTTTCCACTGACACCATCCGAACCCTCCTGCATTCACGAATGTCTGCGTTGTGTACGTACTTTTAGCTTACTGGGAGAAAAGAGAGAGGGGGTTGTGTTCTCTAGGCCCCTAAGGGCCCTACGCGCGGCGTGAGAGCTCGGAAGCGAGCTTTGCACGGCGATCGAGGATGGCACGGTTCACCCCCTTCACCGAAGCGATGGAGATGCGTTCCGCGTGGTGTGACACAAATGAGAGGCGGGAGTGGGGAGGGTACGCGGTGCGGTCAACGCCCGAGCGTTGAGCCTTGCGCGCAAGGCGGTTGATCTTTGCAACTGCTGGCGGCGAGAAGCCGCCGCCGAATGTCTCGTGGAGAAGCAGGTTGAACTTGTTGCGTTTGGTGAAGATCCCATCATGGTAGTGGCCACGCTGTGACTTGACGTAGCCTTGGCCGGTGGTGTGGTCGAACGCCCGTTGACCACGGAACCCGCGTTGCTTGCAGCCCATGTTTGCAAGGCGGGCGCGCTCTTCGGTGTTGCCGAAGGCGAACTTGTCTCCAACGGAGCCGGGGTTGCCTCCGTCCCGGCGAGATCTTCCGCTTCTTGGGGGGGAGTGTGCAGTCGCCGTCGGAGGAGGAGCCGGCAACCGAGGTCGGGCCGTTGTCGGAGCTGCAGCTGGGGCCGGCTGTGCCGTGCGCGGGAGTTGGGCTCGGGTTGGCTGGCGGGGGCGCGGTGTCAGCGGAGGGAGGCGCGGTGGGGGGCGTGGCTGCGGCTGCGGCGGCAGCTGCGGTGTCGGTGGCGGTGGCGTCGGCGGTGGCGGTACCGAGGGCACCGGGCGTGAGGAGGGTGGGGTTGGCGGCCGCCGCTTCGGTCGCTGGCACGGGATCGCCGTTGAAGGGGTACCAGTGGTCAAGTGCAATCGGGAAGCCGGCAGGGAGCGGCACGTGTAGGTTGATGTGTTGAAGCGCTGCCGGGACGCCCCCATTGTCTTCACCGTACTTTTTGTGGATCGCTCCGCTGCCGCCGATTGCCCCATGTGCAGCGCAGAGATCCCAGCAGCTGAAGATGCCGCGTCCGCGTCGAGGGATATAAAGAGCATAGACGGGCGGCTCCTTCTTCTTCTTCCCGTTGCCGGCGGCCCAGACCCCAGGTAGTAACGTGGCGAGGGTGATGGCTGGTCTGGAGCTGAAGGCGGCGACGCAGAGTTGAGCGGTGTACGGGTTGACGATGATGTGAGATATGTCGTAAAGAATGTCGTAAGAGATGACGGTCTCGGGACGGAACAGATCGAGGGCGTGTTGGCAGGACGACAGGTTAGGGCCTCTCTCTGTTGTACGATGGTATGTCCGTCGTAAAGCCGTACTGTGCCATTCTGCTTGTCTGTTTTGTGGCCTCTTCTCTCGTCTGTCGGTGTTTTGTTGGGGTTGGGAGGGGTTGGCGCGGGGGTGGAAGGCCACCTCCAGAAGCAACAGCAACGTGTTCGAGCGTCAACCATATTCGTCGTCGGGAAGTGGTTCCGATACGTGAGTCTGGTAGGCTGGAACACGCTGACGGTAAAGAGGCCGCAACGCATGGCCTTAGCGCATCTCTCAAGGAGATCGCTGCAGTACGGAGCACCGTCCAGGGAGCTGGCAGTGGTTGGGACGACTGCCATTTGCATCCAGAGCCACTGCATGCTCAAATTTAGTTTTGAAGCCTCCCACGACGAGGTTTTGCTGGGGCCGACCGGAACCCCCCCCTGTCATGTTTTCCGCTCCTTTTCGGGGATACCTATTCCCTGCCAAGGAAAGCCGCTATAAGCCGGTGGTAGGGTCAAGCACGATTCCACGAGGCCGTCCTCTGAGGTCCCGGGGATCCCCCCA